AAGTCATAAGAAAAGACCCACTCCCATATATATAGGAGTGAGATACCTGCCCTAGGAGCTGCCCAAATTTTTGGTGAGCTGTCCTGCCCGTACTGCCCGTCCGTACACACACAGTATACGTGTTGTCAAAGATGTCAGAGGTGGCTAATGCCACTATCGCTCTGCACCAATATATTCTCGCCACGTGTCCCTCTGAGCTGGGGAAGATTATTCCTCTGCGCAGGCTTCTCGCGTCCACGCCACGCTCTCGACTGCTCTTCACCTGCTGGGTGCTCGATCTGGTCGAGCCCCCCATCACTAGGTCGATCCTCGACCAGTTCTGCTATTTTTCTCGATCTCCTCCCTCCTAGTCGATCATCCCTCGACCAACGCAGTTTTCTCTACTTCGAGCTTGCCCGACCTATTGCGGTAGGTCGGTCTATTCCGTAGTCATATAATATCTCATATCAAACACATTTGTCACATTCGTTGATTTTGAACTCATTTGATAACATCACGTCATCAAATTTCAAATGTCATTGTTTCGGAGCTTGTTTCAGTCCGTACAAGGATTTGATCAATCTACACACCTTTCTCTCTTGTCCAGGTGCAACAAACCCTTCAGGTTGTTCCATGTATATTTCTTCTTCCAATTCACCATTCAAAAATACCGTCTTGACATCCATTTGGTGAATCTCAAGATTGTGCAAAGCAGCAATCGAGAGAAGCACTCTTATCGATGTTAAACGCGTAACTGGTGAATATGTATCAAAGAAATCATACCATTCCTTTTGTTTAAAGCCTTTGACCACCAATCGTGCTTTAAACTTATCAATCGATCCATCAGCTTTATATTTCTTCTTTAGGATCCACTTGCCTCCTAAAGGTTTACAACCATCAGGGAGATCACCAACTCCCAAGTATGATTTTGCATAATGGACTCGATTTCGCTATTTACAGCTTCTTCCCAGAGTGGTCCATTTGGGCTGGACAGAGCTTCCTTAAGGGAACTCGGTTCATCGTCCAGCATGTACGTAATAAAATCAGATCCAAACGTTTTCGCATTTTTTAAACTTTTACTACGTCTCGATTCTTCATCAGTACCCTCTGGTACAGAACCACTAGAAGTTTCATATATTCGTTTATTAGAACTAGATTCTGCTCTTTCCTTCAGAGGAAAAATATTCTCAAAGAATATAGCATTCCTCGACTCAATCGTGGTACCAACAGATACCTCTGGATTTTCTGATTTATGAACCAGAAATCTATATGATGTACTATTGTACGCATATCCAATAAATACACAATCGACCGTCTTTGGCCCGATTCTCATTTGTTTTGGTTCAGGTACTGAAACCTTACCCAAACACCCCCACACTTTCAGGTACTTATAAGACGGCTTACGATTTTTCCACATTTTGTAAGGAGTCTCATTTTTTCCTTTCGGTGGTATTTTATTCAGGATATGATTTGCTGTTAAAACAGCTTCAACCCACATGTTCTGTGGTAATCCTGAATTTATTAACATAGCATTCATCATTTCTTTTAAAGTACGGTTCTTGCGTTCAGCAACACCGTTCGACTGTGGAGAATAAGGGGCCGTCGTTTGATGAATTATGCCATATTCAGAACATATTTGTTCAAAAGGAGATACATACTCTCCACCTCTATCACTTCGGATTATTTTAATCCTTTTGCCGAGTTGATTTTCAACTTCGGTCTTATAGATTTTAAATGCTTCCATAGCCTCGTCTTTGCTTCTTAATAAATATAAGTAGCAAAACCTTGTGCAATCATCGATAAAAGTAATAAAATCATTTTTACCCGTTCTTGTTTGCACACTTTTCATATCACATACATCAGTATGAATTAAGCCTAATGGTTCAGTACTCCTTTCCACCGAGTGAAAAGACAACTTAGCCATTTTTGCTTCAATACAAATTTCACATTTTGTTTTTGTCTCAAATTTAGAATTAGGAATTAATTCTAAATTCATCAACCGTTTAATTGCATTTAGATTTACATGCCCCAATCTAATATGCCATAAATCAGAGTACTCAATGGTATAAACAGAAATAGGCTTTTCATTATCATTTAAAACGGTTACATGGCTCACGGCCATTACATTCATTTTGAACATACCCTTGTCGAGATAGCCACGACCAAGGAAAGTTCCAAACTTACTAAGAATAAATTTCTTAGTATCAAATACTAGCCTAAATCCATGCTCAACAATAAGAGATCCGGAGACCAAATTCTTGCGGATGTCTGGGACATGCAGAACATCCTTAAGCTTCAACTCCTTTTCAGAAGTCAGCTTCAGCACCACAGTGCCCACTCCAGCTACATCAACTGTGGCTGAGTTTGCCATGTAAAGTTTCCGACTCTTAGCAGGAGTGTATTCAGAGAACACCTCCTTATCGGAACACACATGACGAGTGGCACCAGTATCGATGTACCACTCCTTGAGTTATCCACCATATTGGCTTCAAACACCACAACCGACATATCAAAGTCGGTCAGTTCACCCGGCACAGGGCCGTGTTCAGCCACAAGGGCACTCTGTTTACCTTTCTTTGTCCCAGCCTTCTTTGGCCTCTTGCAGTCTTTAGCCATATGGTTCGGCTTTCCGCAATTATAACAAGTTCCGGTAAACTTCCAAACCTTGGCAGGCTGCTTCCCTTTGTCTAGGGACTTCCTTTTGCTCGAGTTTCCTTGCTCTATCAAGTTAGCGGTCCTCCTCAATACGAAGACGAACAATCAAGTCTTCAAGACTCATTTCCTTGTTCTTATGTTTGAGGTAGTTCTTGAAGTCGCTCTTATGTTTGAGGTAGTTCTTGAAGTCTTTCCAACCTGTCGGCAATTTTTCAATCACAGCCGCAACTTGGAATGACTCGCTCAGAGACATTCCCTTAGCATGAATGTCGTGCAAGATGAGTTGGAATTCTTGCACTTGTGACACAACGGTCTTTGTGTCAACCATTTTGAAGTCAAGAAATTTTCCGACGACGAATTTCTTCGCCCCGGCATCCTCAGTCTTGTACTTCTTTTCCAAAGCAGCCCAAAGATCTTTGGCAGAACCAACCGAGCTGTACACATTGTACAACTCGTTACTAAGTCCGTTCAGGACATAGTTACGGCAAAGGTAATCACCTTGCCCCCAAGCCTCGTACGCAGTGCGTAGTTCAACATTGGTTTCATTTTCAGCAATAACTGGGAGTCGTCCTTCAGGTATTTCACCAAACCCAAAGTGGTCTGGTAAAAATGCATCTTTTGTTGCCATCTTTTAAAATCAAGCCCATTGAATTTTTCGGGCTTCTCAGCAGTAGGGACATGGACAGCAGGTACATGATCGATCGGATGCTGAGTGTTGGAACCATTTCCGGTGGTAGCCATCAGTCCAGTAGGTTGTTTATTCTTCTTGCGATTGTTATAAATTTGGTATCAAAATTACACGGGAATCCTACGAGCTGATATGTATTTTTTTTACAGTTCTTACAAATAATCTAAAAAATAGAAAATTACAATTGAACTGAAAAATAAATTACAATTGAAAAATAAAAGCAGAAAAATTTTAGCCGAGACGAGTAAAACTCTTTCCGCATGACGAATACGCCCCGTGTGACAGCTAATGGTTCAGGCGTAACTTCCCCAAAGATACAACGGCAAACGTCTCTAAATCTGTAACACACCAGATTTACGAGCTCCGACGAACTGAAACGGAGTCGAGAATTGAGCACTTAAAAATAGAAATAAAAATATCTCTCTGATAATTTTCTCTATTTTTATCACTATTATTTTTATTCCTCAAATATTTCTTTCGAACTGAATATGTTTATATCTCTCTTTCCTTTCTTTCTCCCTTTCTTTCTTCTCTTTTTTCACTTCTTTTCTTGTATTTCTGACGAGTTGATTCCTCCCATATATGTAGATGGGAAATGGGTTGCAACTTGGAAAAGTTGACAATTTCCTTCTCGCACATCATCAACCAAATGGACAATAAAATATAAGAGTTGTTTGTAATTTGGTGTGGTGGTTCCATTTGGTTGAATAACTAATAAGATGGTTGGAAGAATAACATGGTGGGTGGAAGAATAAGAATCAATAGGTTGGAATATTAGTTAACAAATTAATTTAACACTCATTGACTAACATAAGTTAGCTTATACCTCATTTGGTTAGCTTATAAACTTTATGTATTCAAATAAGTTTCGTTTCGTACGACGAGTTTTTTTAAAAAACTCGAGTTCATCTCTTAAACTTCTTTGAGTAGCTTTTCAAATAAGCTTATCGAAAATTTTATTTCAGCTAGTTTATCAACTTATTTTACCAAACACTTCTATCAAATAAGCTAGCCTTTCAACTATAAATCATAAGGCATAAGCTCGAAAATCACTCATAAGCTATCAACCAATTTACCAGCTAGTTTTACCAAACATAGCCTAAGCATTGTCGACCATAGATCTAAAGAAAAATAAGGAAGAGACCTTTTTTCGACCAATTAGACCGTTGCGTATCTTAATTCAAAAATATAATTGCCTTTAGAGCACCCACAATGCATTGGGTCTCTTAATTAAATATCATATGTACATAAGAAATAGACCTAATCTATAAAAAAATGTCTCCCAATGCAATTAAAAAGTGGACATGGTCTAGCTTATATTGTAATAAAAAAAATAGACCAACTCCACACTTGAGTCTATTTTAGACCCAAGAACAAACCCAAACACTCATCATTTATTCCTAATTTATTTTTTCTTTTAATAAATAAAACATATTAGAGTATTTTTATTGGTTGACATGTATGCTAGACCTAGTATTTTATTTTTGCATTGAATAACTTTTGAGTTTTTTTTATTTGGGTTTGTTCATGTCAATTAGGACATAAGTCTGTTTATATGCCACGTATGTAAAATTAGGCCAAATGCATTATGGGTGCTCTTACAAGACATTTAATTAGTTTGCCTATATGAATTTGGCCGGGTAGTTGAACATGAAAGAAAAGTAGCTAAACTTTGAAAATTGGACCAAACAGAGCCTTAGGGCAGCGCTTTACTAACGCAAGTTACCCATTTATTTAATTTACCTTTTCGCTACCTCTACGTTCGGAAATTCTGAATACTCCAGAAAATGGCCGCGCTCTGAATTTCTCTCGATCTGCCCGTAACCCATTTTTCTCTTCTCTCTCATTGTTATTTTCATTTTCACCTGTAAACACTGATCATTTTCTCTCTCTACAGTGATTTCTCGAAAATTCTCCTCCACCAAGTTCCGTATCCGAGCGAATTATACGGTATGTCGAAGCATTTTTGCGATAATTTAGCAATTAGCGGGGCTCGCCGTATAATTTATCTGGAATAAATGAATAATTTAAAGAATCTCAGATAAATTAAAGAATTTCAGATGGGAGACGCATGTGGTTAGGTGATTAACTGCTTTATATTTTATTATGGGTTCAAGTTTTGTGTTTTTCGCATTCGTATGTAGGGTCCTGTATTAATTAATTGATGGATTACCCTTTTCTTTTTGGTTAATTAAATTGAGATTCTGCAAAATTGGGCAATGCTTCCCTTATCTGTCGCCTCGCGTGACTCTGATCTTGTGGCACGTTGTTTCTTGTTTTGGATGTCTTCATAACAATGTTTATTCGAATCTCTCCTGTCAATCTGTATTCTGTACGCATATATGTATGTATATGTGCATCTGATCTTGAACCTTTATAGATTTTTATCCTAATATTTTATTGACTAAAGGTTGAAGTTTGCTTGTGTGCTTATATAAACTTGGCGCTTTCTTTTGATCTCCCCAAATAATTCTACAATTGGGATCGAGATTTGTTTTCTTTTCAAATTCTGAGGTAGGTTTTGTTATTTGTTCTGGGTGAACTTTTTAGTTTCCTTAGTTGTTTGTATTGGTTTGGGTTGCTTTTGGGGGCTTAATTTGTTTCAATATAGGAAGATCTGGGCAGCTAATCCACGCAACTTGTTTGCTTGAAGGGAACTTTTTATCTTGAATTTCGTTGTCCGGCTTTTCATGAGCCCAGGCTTTTATGAATACTTGCTACCATTTCTTGAAAGCTAAATTCAACTATAAAGATGCAATATGTTGCTGAGTTGCATAGGCTATGTAGTTTATGAGATTTTCCATCTTTAGCATCATCTTCTTCTATTCATCCTAGAATGTTTGAAGATCGTTGTTCTCACTTCCCACATTTTCATTTAGAGGGGTGGGGAATGGTTAGCTGATATGACTTGGCAGATTCTTTATGTGGCTTTAGAAGGTTGAGTTCTATGCTAGTGGTTTCAGAAGGTTGTATTGCATGCTAATGTTTGAATTTGGTGGAACTTTTCACAATTGGTTGGTCTTGTGTAGGTTGGTCTAACAGTTAGGATGACATACTCTTTTTAAAAATGTACATACTTTCATTAGAAAATATACTACTTTAAAAAATAACATAAAAAGAAGTATGACATTTGATTGTATAAGTATGCATTTTTGATCAAATTGTATAACGAGTCGACTCGCCTAACGTTGTGCTGCCTCACATAAGAATTTGTGTTTCACTATATATGGATTGTGGATTTGTGGTACTAATGGTGTCTCATATTCTTGGTATTTTCTTTTATCTTCACTCTTTCGCTCCAAATAATCTTGCCATTTGGCTAGTAGCTTAAGCATACCATTTTCCTTCTTCTTAGCTACTGTAGTGCAAGGATGGTTGTTTCTGATTGCCTTAATGCAATTACTAGTTTCCTTGTTACTTGACTTTTTTGGTCGAATTATGCCAATTTAGTATATGGCTGATGAATAGTCTCATTACATTATAACTGTCCGCTGCTCTNAAATATTATAGACTTTGATATATAATAAATTTAAAAATGTTGGCCTTGTGTTATTGCCTTGCATGCTCTCTCTTTCACATGGCAAATGCTTAACCCCCTTGATCTGTACCTTTCTTTACTTAACCTCTTTAGTAACTGAAATCTATTCCCCTCTTGGTAGTGGGTCATTTTTTGTCCTCATAAGATGACTAAGCATCAATAATTTTTCTAAGAATGATAAACTAACCACCGAGGTTCAAAATAAGCAAGCCCTTGAGGTTGTACAGATTAAACCCTCCAATGCATGGAAGTCATAAATAAAACTGTATCAAGCTGGGTATTTGCTATTTTGTACGGTAAGATGTTAAGCCTCAACGATAGTGAACTTAGCTATCCGTACACAAAACTTTAGCTACCCCTACCCGTAACTTTTTCTTATTCCGGCATGTATAATAACATGTCTCGTGTCCAGACCACATACTTCTGAAACACTGCTACAGAACTGAAAATTCCTAAAACATTAATTTTCGAACTCACTGTAAAGTCTGTGAAACAAACTCTCTCCGTTTATAACCACGCTTCAAGCAGAGCACTAGTGAAGCTCATCAAACATCTCACAATCTCTTTGCATAAAAATCCAGAAAAATGGCAAAAGGCACAAGAGGCAGACGCGGAATAGCCTCGCGCCAGTGCAGGCCAACGCCGTACCCCGCGAGACCCCACCACAAGAAGCGCGTCCCTCACCACACGAAATCAGTAAAGAAGGACTGGGAAGACGCCACGTGTTCGGTCTGCATGGAGTTCCCCCACAACGCCGTCCTCCTCCTCTGCTCGTCCCACGACAAGGGATGCCGGCCTTACATGTGCGGCACGAGCTCCCGCTACTCCAACTGCCTCGACCAATACCACAAAAAGGCCTCTGCCAAGGTGTCATCATCAGCAGTCTCGGGACCCACGGAGCTTATCTGCCCTCTCTGCCGTGGCCAGGTGATGCAGATTATTATTATTATTATTAGTAGTAGTAGTTAGCTTGGAGAATTAGCTAGGGTTTAGTTTGAGGGCCTTATTTGAATGTCTCTTCTGCTTTGTTATGAGGTGGTGAATTGATAATAAGAATTGATTGAGTTTTGTGAGTTTTACCGAGAGAGTAATCTCGTTTATTTTTTCCCACTCGTACGCTTCTCTACATCACCAGGTCAAGGGCTGGACTGTGGTGGAGCGCGCTCGAGAGCACCTGAACGCCAAGCGCAGAAGCTGCATGGTGGACGGGTGCTTGTTCGTGGGGACGTTTAAGGAGCTGAGGAAGCACGTGAGGGCCCAGCACCCGTGCGCGAGGCCAAGGGAAGTGGACCCGGCTATGGAGCAGAGGTGGAGGAGGTTCGAGAGGGAAAGGGAGAGGGAGGATGTGATGAGCACTATTCGTTCGTCGAACCCTGGGGCGGTTTTTTTCGGGGATTATGTGATTGAAGGGGGGGATGATGATGAGGATGAGGATGAGGGAGTTTTTGGGGAGGATGATGATTATAGGGGTGGTGGGGCAGGGATTGACCGGAATTTGATGTCGGTTTTTTTGTTTCTGCAGGCGTTTGGGTCGGGGGCGAGGCGCGGGAATGAGTTTGAAGAATCGGATAGTGATGAAGGTGGAGATGAGTTGGCGGGAAGGGTGGGTCGACAGGGTAGGGTGGTTTTGGGGAGGAGGAGGAGTAGGGAGGCGGGTGG